TACTCAGAAATTTCAATTTTCTTAGATAAAAACTCTGTAATTTTGCTCTTTCTCTGACTTCCCTACCCCTAGGAATTTCCAAATTCCTCTGTGGGGGATCGGAGGCTATGGATAATTTCTGGAACTACATATTGTAATTTATATCTCAAGGGATTTTGAGTCACATGGTTGCCTCACAAGTATACCTGTAGGCAGAATATTAGACAAATGTAACTAGGTGAGGCACAACACACACATATCAGAGTGCTTCTTAACATTACTTGGTGAGCGCTTTGCCAATTTTGCCATTTTAAATTAGAGAAAAAAATTATATAGGAGCTCAATGGCGCTTTTCAAGATCAGTGGAGGACTTTATGGGCTGCATATTAAGGCACTAGTAGGGCCCTGCAGCTTACAATCATGAGTGATTTGTTAGTATGTTAGTATTATGCCTCCAAATTGGGATAGGCTGTATGTTGAACCAGGGGGCAATCCCCTACTCTTCATAAATAATTCAACAGGTTCTTTTATGTCCCCCATTTTACTGCAGGTTAGGAAGGGTTGGGAGAAAGGGCCTACAGTTTTAAGTCCTTATCCGAGAAGACTTGAAGTTCTAACCATTTGCAGCACCTTCTCCTCAGTTATTTTAAGACCCTGAGTGTTGGTCCGGCCGAGGCTTGAACCACGACCTCTCGCACAACAGACTGACGCTTTTACCAACTGAGCTATCAATACAATTGATACAATTAATTAGGATAGCCATTATTGCCCTCCAGCCAATTAGAAATTATTTATAGCAGTTATTCTATATATTCCAAAGTTAGGTACTTTTAACAGCGTGTGAAAAAAATTATTTACCTCTTGTGGAGGGACGTCAAATGACACGACCCTGAGGTCAACCTTTCTGTAGGTGTCAATGCAGGGAAGGATGAAAAATAACCCTAAAAAAATGTTAAATAAAATATAACTAATTAAAACGGTCCAAAAAATGCACTCAGTGTTTTGATATGTCCAGGGGGGTTGGGGTTACCCAACCCCTGACAACTAAAGAAGTCAACTTTCAAGATGGCAGCCAGGTTAAATTTCCTATTGCCTTTTGTGGGGTACCGGGGGTTGGGGGTGGGGGGAGGGGGGAGTTGGAGTGTTGAATAATGTAAATTTTCTGGGGAAGCTGTTTAGCGGGGCTTAAGATCGATAGGTGCATTATAGGTGCATCATTACCTGGTCCCTTGGCTCCTCCAGGAAGCAGCCGACCAAGCCTGAAGATGACAGCTCTTTCATACTCTTGAACAACCTAACATCAAGCAAGATAAATTAAATTTGTGATCTCCCTCAATGAGCTATTGTTAGTTCTTGGAGTGAACAATGAGAAAAAATATGGTGAAATAAATAAATAATAAATTCGAAAAAAGTTTAAAAAATTTACCTTCAAGCAGAAGAATATCGAAATTGGAAAAGTAATTAAAACTAATATTAATGAAAGAACAGTGACGACATAATGGCAGACTCCTTTGCTTGTGCCTGTGTTATCTGTATAGAATGTAAGAGCAAAATCATGATCAGAAAGTTGGAAACTGAAAATTGAAATGTTAAGGACTCCGGGAAAAAAGTACCAGGGATGCTCGTTGGAAATTTTCAGAAAGACCCCTAAAAGATACTGAAAGTCTTTAAAAAAGGGCGTGGCTGAATGATCTTTAGTCCCTAAGAGATACCACAACATATAATATTAAATTTTAAATAAAAAACGCAAAGGATAAGCCATATCGATATGCACTTCTCTCCTCTTCCGACACCCTAAGAGATACCAGAAAATGCTGATTTTCAAAAATTCGCAATTAACACAAAAAAAGATGCCAAATCGCAAATTTTTACCCCTAAGAGATACGACAAGCATACCTGGTACTTTATTCTCGGAGTTCCCCCCCCTCCCGGGACTACAGCCAAATAGAAAAATGGGATGACAATTTCAAGTAATAGGTCTTAATTTGAATTTGGAAAAATTTATTTATTTTAATAAACTCACTAAAGCTTCCATTTGAAAAACAAGAAATTTTGTGGCTTATATTTTTGTATATCAAACCAATATTCTAATAGCTGTTTTCTCATTATTTAAATATTTCAGGTAAATACAATCTATTATCTACAGCTGTTTATCTTAGAGAAGCTCTAAAACACTACCTAGGAGTCAAATTGTGTCATTTAATTTTGACATCTTTAGCTAGTTTAATTACCATATGAAATAGATACAGAACTATTGTCAGAAGGCTGGAAAATATTCAAAAAATGATTTAAAATAAAAAATAGCCATTATTTTCTGGAAAAACAAAGCAAATATGAAATTATAGGAAAAGCAAAAAATCAAAATGAATTTATAGGGAGAATTCAACCACTCCTAAGAGCTAAACAAAAAAAAAACAAACAAAAAAGAGCTAAGAAATTGACAGACGACTAATAACTTTTGGTCTGCAAAAATTGATGAGCGGATGGTGCTTCAAAAATATCAAGAAATATCAAGTGTAATACTGGATGTATGCTCTACTGTAAGTTCATAGCTAAAATTCTTTACTATCAATTAACAGACATCACTTCCAGTACATCTGGGCCCTCAAACTTTTGACTGGGGGGCAATTATAAATYCCATTTGTAAAGCGAGTGTACTTTGTTTGTGAGTATTACTATGAAAATGCCAGATTCCTGCTCTGTTTATGGGTTTTCTAATCGAAAGCAAAGGGACAAAGACAAAAGGTTCTTCAGAGTACCTCAAAAATCAACTCGTCGAGGCAAAAGAGAAAGTGAATTATTGAAAAAGCGTCGAGCAAAATGGCTCGCTAATGTCTCGTTGCTGTAAATTTGAACGAAACACACAAGTCAAAAAGAATGGAACGAACAATTTTCTTTTAATTATTTTTGCTTTGTACCCGGCCATGCAGTTGCAATGTGCTGTAACTACCTCACCATCTTCTTTCACTATTACCCAAGTCTTTAATGGGGTACAAGTCGATCTTTGTGAGTGATTTACCTAAATCAAAGACAATCATCTTAATTATAATAATAAATCATAACAGGTTACATCCTATCAGAATACTAAAGAAAGCAAGCTCGAGCTGCTTTAATACTCACAGGTTTTTGCTTAGCAACGTAAAAACAAAGCGAATTGTGTTTGTACTTAACCTTGCAAGTGTGAGGTGATTTTTGTCCTTAAGTCGCTTTCCACTAAGCCCATTAACCCAGCCACTTACGAAAAAGAAGTTGTACGCCTCTAAACTCTTAAAAGTTTTCATTTCATTTTTTGAATAGAACGATGTTTGAACAACTAAATAATTCGATATAGCGGGGAACTGCAGATTAGGCAAGTCTTTAAATTCGGTTGAAAATTCCTCCTTTTTCATACAATAAGGATCAGTGCCTTCGCACAAACTAAGTTTATTGAGATATCTTGATTGATGATCTGGTTTTAAACCATAAAAATAGTCGGAAAGCGTGCTTTTACGACTTTGAGCCGGTGTCGATATAACTTTCTTGGCCACCATATTGTTTTGGCTGCCCCCCAGTCAAAAACCAGAAGTGAACCAGTCTCCAACATGTCACGTGATTGATAGTAAAGAATATATACTATAATGTAGCCATGGTGTGTTATATTGTAACTATTACTTACTGCATGTTTTGAATGGCAAAATCCTCCGAAGACAATGGCAAGCCATATTAATGTTATGACAGTCTGTTTGCATACAGTAAAACAAAACCTTTTTTTTTCACACATCATCATCTTAGTGTTAAGCCACATCACATCATTGTATGGCATGTCGTACCATATACATGCTCTGAGTCAGTACTATATGTTTTCCACCCTCCTAGTGATGGTCATTCATATGAGAAGCCATCTATAAGTGTTTAGCAAGTCGTAATCACAGTGTATTGTAAGTGCAATGTGTCAATATCATTTGTCCTAATTATAATTATGATAACCATCATTATAAGAATGTCATATCAAATGTTAGGGTATGCCATACAATGTACCTCCACTCACACGAAAATTGTTCATTAGAATTCTCAATGCAATAGAAAATTAATAAGCTTATTTGACCTTACAAATTGAGATCTAAAATAACAATCATAATAATTTAAACAATACAAGGTTTACTTTTGTAAACCACTAGAAAATGTATAGATCATGTAGAAAAAATGATTCAAAATTAAATAGCAAGTTCCGTGCCTTAAATAAAGCGAAAAATTCTTTGTTTTTCGAATTGATTTTTAAATTATTAAAAAGCGGTCACCTGGCTTAAGTATGCTCAATATTGTTTATGAGCGCAAAAGAGCCCAGTCACATATAAGTCTGGACATAAAGATATCAAATTCTAAAAACCTTAAAGGTGAGAGAGAAAAGAGAGGAATCAAAAATTTGAAGCATCTTGTGCGAAGGTCGAAAGATTTCGATAGAAAAAATGTCGAGTTGCATGCGATTTAACGAATTTTCCACTTCGTTTATAGCAGAAAAAACGCTCAAAGCACAACAAATTTAACTTAAACGAGCGCTTAGGATATTCCTTTAGCACTATCCTTAACACTTTAGAAGAAACGAAGCATTTTAGAGCATTTCAAAGGAGAATAAAAGCGTCAGAACGCATTAAATAACAAGAAAAACAGGCCTAACGTGTGAATCTTTGACGCTTCAAAGCGACACTTCTCCGAATGTTGCGAACAAATAAATATTTTTTTAAATTCTGAGGCAAAAATAGCACATTACCTCGAGTCTCTTCGACCTGAAGATGGTCTGCTTTGGTCATTTCTAATGTTTCTTCGCCTGAATTCCTCATTTATGACTTCTTTATGTGAAAAATCGTAAAACTTCAAAACAACCTCGCACGAAGGACTGGCTAATCACGTGACTTGCAAGAGCTCAATTATTCGAATATTTTCCCCGTTAATTTGTTTATTTCCCAAGAGACTTTTTATTTTTTATTTCTTAACTTCTTGGAAATAAGGAATTTTGTTCAAGTGCCAGTTACATTAAACTGTTTTTAGCGTTATATTATCGCCAAAATAAGGATAAATACAGACGAAAACTGCACAAAGACTAGCTGGAGCACAGGTAGCCCACTTTTAGATAAAGGTAATATACCCATAGATTTTTTTTATTGAAGTTTTAAAAAATGAGGACGACCAAGAGAGTATATATATATGCTCTTATGGACTGAGATAAACTAACAAACAAGCAGGAAATAGAACTGAATGCAAAACTAGTGTAAATCTAGTGGGCCAAAAAGAGGAGGGTCCAGATACAGAATAGTCCCCTTCACAGTTCCCTGCGCCATCTTGAAAGGTAGCCGTGCCTTTACATCAAAGCGAGACGAACGGTGAGCTTGCAATGTTAGAGACCTTTTTTAACGCCTTGAACAACTATTCACATGTCTCTACCATTGCAATCTCACCGTTCCTCTCGCTTCGATGCAAAGGCACGGCTACCTTTCAAGATGGCGCAGGGAACTGTGAAGGGAACAATTCTGTATCTGGACCCCTTTAGAAAAATCCTGAATCTGGCTTAAAATTAAAAGGTTTATTGAGGTACATTCTTCTTTTCTATCATAAGAACTACTCATCCATTATTCATGGTTTTGTGGGGGGAAGGGGAGGGGGGCTGGCATGAGTCATACATAGCATTAATTAATGAGCCATACTCTACAATTTTTTCCAGAACCCTCCCCTCCCTCTTTCAAAACACCTCTCTTTTTACCACCACCTCTCCCCCTCCTCCAAGCCTTCAAATCTCACGGTACCGCCTTTACCCTACAGTAAATTAATGTAATCCTCCCCCTTCTCTCTACCCTCCGTGCCTCTTCCTGCCCTCTTTCCGATTATCAGAAATAAATCTCAAATAATTCCTTATGATCGTCTAGCGCTTGGAAGATTGAATAAAACGAACCGATTCCAAGATTTTTGTAAGCGTTTACTACCAAAGCCCCGACGTTTATAGTCGGTGGCAGATTGAGATAAAGTTCTCAATCAATGAAAAGTAGATTGCGTGACTAAAGTACAATTTCTGGCCCGGAATTATGCAACTCAAACAGGACGAAAAACCAGCTAAAACCATCGTTTAAACCCAAAAAGCCTATGAATAATTTTGATAAAAACTGTTCCAAGGTGACAATACGAGAGAATCAGATATCAACATCATCTGTCTATCAGCTTCAACACTCAAACCTAATGATATCTGGTACGAAACATGCACCTACCTTCCAAAGGAGAATACTTGCTCTTGGTCATTTCCATATTACAGTATTAGAAACTATTAACTCAGTGGACAAAGGATGAAAAAAACACCATATATTCAATGCATGCGGTGCGTCGTCTAAGATAACTGAAAATGGCGTCCTATCCGGTGAAGTAGTTATTATTTGGGTCCCGTGTCAGCAGATTGTCTGGATACTATTTCTCTACCATGACGTCACTTTTGATTACTTTCAAAAGCCAAGTCTCCCACCCCTCCCCCACCGAAACAAAATTCCACTTCTTGAGCTATTTTTACTATTTTATCATAAACAAAATAATTTTGAAAACTTTCTCTTTTTTAAAGCTCTCCTCTAGATTTTATTAAGTCATTCCTAAGGGCAACACTTTTTTGACTGGCCTAACTCAGTCATTGTCACGCTCGCATGCTTTTGTATACTTACTTTATTTACGTCACGTTTCTAAACACCCACAGATCACGTGACACTATTTTTAATAAATGACATCATAGTCTTGTAATAGTAGTATGTTGTAACGCGTTCTTTTGACGTCAAAGAAGTAAGGCTTTATATTCGCTGGTGGGTCCGTATAGTACTAATCGATTTAGTTTGATCTACTGAAGAAAGATCTCGTTTTATATAATGGCAAAAACTGCAGATATAGAAATGGCCAACAGTAATCCTCAAGGTACTTTATCTATAATTTCTTTATACTATTTATATAAACATTTATGTATTCATAGCGAGCCCTGCTTTGATAATACTTGATCGGGCTGAACGGTTTAGATTAACGACACTTTCAAGCTTCTAATATTACAGATTCAAAAATAGATGGAATTTGAGTGGAATGTGGCTTGAATATTATAGATTTAAGCAAAACGTGTTAAAATACTTGCATATAACATGATCTACTAATTCTGATATTTAGATATCTTTTGGACATCTTTTGGTCATTGTGACAATGCTAACTTGTGTTCCGTACGGCTCCTCAAAACGAATTTTCGTTCCATAAAAAAGTACAGTTCAGTCTGACGTTGGGCAATTAAGAAGAAGATCGTAGAAAAACTCATCATCCCTTCGCTTGAGATTTATTACCTATATTTAAAGGGCCACTTGGACGAAAATCGTTCCAAATTTAAAACTCTTTCATTCGAGCTGGAACTTTGCTGAAATAATCT